TTCGATATTTTATTTAGGCAAATTTGGTAGTGTATCTTTAAGAGACCTGCAAAATTATTATCTATCATAATAATTTTAGCCACACGTCTTATTAATATTTTATCAGTTCTTGTAAATGTGTATATTCATGTCAGTTTGGGGAAAGATACGAATGGAACCAACATATACAAGGTCTATTGCTGTCTGGCTATTTTTATGGGGTTCTTCCTGCAAGTGTTCCTGCGGGTCTTCTAGCCGAAAAGTATGGAGGTTCAAAAGTGGTGGCGTAAGTGCAACATCTATTGATAATAATTCTTAATCACACAATTATCAGGGTCGCTTGCATCGTATTTTGCGGTAAACGAAAATACTTATTATAAATTTCGGTGTCAGTTTTTGAAGTTGAAATTGAATTTCCAAAATCATTTATTGCACTGATTTGATCAAGTAAACTCTTATAAGAATTTAATATTATTAGCAGATTATTACTTTATGTATGTTGGTATAGATAAATCATGTGAAGAAAAAAATCTCTGAAATCAGAATTTTGTTTATTTATATAACGATTATTAAATACTTTAACATCTTTCAAATTGTATTTCTTTTAAATAAGCAACGTATGTAAAAATTGAGCTTTGTGTTGTACCTGGCTTTGACAATACTATGGTCGGTCCTGATAATTATAATAAATATTTTGCTATTTCCTTAGATTTATTATATGTATAGATACATACTATACATTTACATATAATTTACATTTACATTCAATTTAACCATTTGTTGAACTGTATGCTAATATAGATTTGCAACACTAATACCTGCAATATTAAACCTTTTGATGCCTTGGGCTTCTGGTCTTCATTATGGTGTGGTGTTTGTTCTCCGTTTTCTGATGGGCTTCTTTGGAGTAAGTTCTCTAATCGATTATTACAGTTCTTTGTTTTTCTATAAATTATTTTATCTTTGTATTCAATTAAAAATAAGGATTACATATAAGCTTATTTTATTAACGTGTGTAATACACGGTTTTACATACTAGAAGTTCATGTAACATTCATGGTTAATGAGAATAAAAGTGATGCATGTCAATTTAATTTCACTTTAACAAATTATTACTTGTAACGCGTGTTTCATGAAAGTGTCCCTTCTTTATAAAAGTGAAATATAAACGTATAGTAGTTTTCGAACATTTATGACTTATGTCAGTCTCGTTCTGAAGACTTTAAATGCATAAAAAATGTGATATTCTATCCACGATACTAATACAATATTTCTTACGAATTTCATTATTATATTTGGGTATAAAACTTTGCTTTTTTAGAATTTGTTGTAATAATGGGATCGGATTTTTTGTATTAAAACTATGTATGTTTTTAGGGAGCTGTGTATCCTGCCCTTCACGCAATGATTGCTAGATGGGTTCCTCCAAGTGAGAAGGGCATGTTTGTATGGACAATGCAAGGTATTCAAATATTTCTTTAATATAATTGTTGAATCGAACGTAACAAAAGTACTAAGAAGAGAGTATCTTTTTAAGGTGGTCCGTTTGGAACAGTAGTAACATTTGCTTTATGCGGTCAAATAATCAGTGCTCTTGGTTGGAAAGCCGCATATTATGTTACAAGTGGAATTATACTGATTTTCTATGCCTTGTGGGTTTATCTGATCTATGATACACCAGATATTCATCCAGGAATTACAGAAAAAGAGAAGACTTACATCAAAGAACAAATAGGTACAACTGTTTCTAAAGAGAAAGTAAGTAACACATTGAACATTAAAAGTAAAAACTATATCACATACATTACGTTGTAACAATTATTTTTCGAATGTCATTACAAAATCATAGGTCAAACTGCCATTGACGTCTGTTCTGACATCTGTACCGTTCTTGGTTTTGCTATGGGCACATTTTGCCAATATGTGGGGAATTTATTTTATAGCTACCAATGGACCAAAATACACTTTGGAAGTTCTTGGTTTTAACATGAAATCGGTAATACTTTATTCATACATTTTACCAGCTGTAAATCCCTCAGTGCATGAAACTTTAAAATTTACTATACCTTGTTTAGGGAGGATCAATTACAGGATTACCTTACATAGCTAGACTTGGTGCTGGAGTATTATTTGCTGCAGCTGGCGATTATGTGCGAAGAAGAAATATCCTATCATTAGGATGGATTCGAAAAATATTTATGCTCTTCTGTACGTAAATTTTTATAATCAAAAATACAATAAGTAATAAAAAAAACTATATCTGAGTATAAATATGTATTTAAAGAATGAAAAAGATTTATTTTATGCTAATGAGGATATTTTTTTAACAGCACACATGGGCCCAGCGATTGCTTTAATTGTAATGACGTATGTTGGCTGTGACGCAGTAGCTGCAATCGTTATGTTAATAGTGGCATTGACTTTTAATGGAGCTGCCTGTCAGACCAGTTTAGTAAATCATCAAGATCTTGCACCGAACTTTGCTGGTTCTTTATATGGAATTATGAATACCTTTGGTAGTTTTCCCGGATTTATTATTCCGCCAATTATTGGAGCTTTAACAAATGAAAAGGTACGAGTAAGCTTTATTTTTATTGTGTATATTTATGTGTGTGTGT